TCAAATTGACTCTTGTTTAATTTTCAGAGAGTGAACAGAGGACAGGTTCGTTCAAAGTCAGAGGAGCCTTCAACAAGTGCCTTGTCCTGAGTGGGGAGAAGCCAGGCACCCATGTGACTACTGCCTCCTCAGGAAACCACGGTTTGGCTTGTGTATGTCAATGTGTGTCCTCTTTGTCATGAGGTTACGTCGAAGAACAAAAAATATAAGGTACATAACCCATAAAATTTAGCACACTGAAGTAGCCATCTTTGCTGGTTGCCAAAGGGTTCATTAACATGCGCTCGAGGTGTGGCTCTCCTCAGACACATGTTCTTACAAACTCAAGTAAGGGAAGATTCATTTCTTGTTTCTTCTTCCGTTCCAAACACTGACCTCGTCAATGACCTGAACCAGACCGTCTGTCACCATGGTAACTGGTGTTGGGTTACATCATGTTGCAATTTTATAGTAGGAGGGAGTTAGACTCCTGTCACCATATACTGTATGTGAATGTGTTTGAGAAATAATTAACAGATCAGACCATATGCGAAGGTAAACATTGTGCATTTGCTTTGCAAATGTTACCTTTCCAGGTCCAAAACTATTTTATTTATCAGACATTAGCCATGAAGACAGTTGGGCTGAGAGGAACAATCTTCCTGGGAGAGAATGTGTCCAAGACAAAGGAGTTGGCCCTGGTCAGAGAGGGAGCCGTCCTGAGGCATCATGGGACAGACTGTGTAGAGACGGAGAACAAAGCGAGGCAGACTGCCCGGGTGAGCAGTCAGTGATATTTTCTTTCCAGTATTTGACAGAATTGTGCTCATGACGGACAAAATTGTTGCCTAATTTGTGTCATTTTTATGGACAAAAATCAGTGTGTAAAGATATGGACATAGATGTCATTAAACTACACGTGAACTTAGCTATAGTCTACCAGCAAAATTTCCCTACGAAATGCAGAAAATAGGGTGAGGTGTATATGGAGGCATTTTATAAATATAAAACATCGGTATGCGTTAAAATGATATTGGTGGTTCACTGATACAGTGATAGTGGTACTCCATACATAGTTTTTTAAGTTCATAATGTCAAGTCTCCCTAATATGTAACAGTGTATTTGTCTTAATTTTCTATGAAAATAGCATATACTAGTAATCCATTGTAAGTAATGTATTATTGTGTATTTCAGGAAGAAGGGATTGAGTACATATCCCCATACAATGATATGGAGGTCATGACCGGACAGGGGACAATAGGGTATGCCTGTCAACTTTTCTTTAGGCTCTATGTTGCAAAAATAATTATAAATTCAGAGGACTGTTACAATGATTCAAAGTATCTCTCAGATCATTTTATTTTGTTTTGGAAATGTTTGCAACAGTGGTTGAAGATGATTATCAAAATAGCTTTACCCTAAGTTTGGAAACCACCAAATTACAGATATGTGACTATCAGCAACTAATCAGTTACTGACAGTCTCCTCTCAGTAAACTGTCACAAGTGTGACACGCTCCTCCGCAGCGTCCGCTAGCTATCCACATCTGGGCGCGCGTCGGGGTCCCCAGAGCAACACAGTGCGGAAGCATTAGCGTGTATTTGTGTCCTGGGGCCGAGAACGCATTTTGCGCAAAGCATGCTGGGTAGCAGAGTGAACTGTCCTGGGGACGAGAGTTTGTAGCGCGGGCGGAGAATGCCAAAACTCCCTCCGTGGCTAAGTTCCTTCCGCGACTAACTCCCTTCTGGGAAAATGTAGAGGGATAACGGTACACCCTCATAGCGTCACCAAATGAGGTACTTTGTAAAGGTCCGTTTCATTTGGTATATATTACCATTGTGACAGCATTTTATACCCCAAAATAGGAATCTTGCGTCTTGTTTTAGGTCCCAATAGTAGAAAGAATGCAGTGTACATGTATTCAGATGGCCGCCGTGTAACGTTACGTACTAGCGAGCGCGCACGACAATACCGCCAGAGTAGAGTAGGTTATCCTAACCCTTTAGATAGCGCAAAGAAAACAAAAACGACAGATTTGCATTAAAGAAAGTTTATTTTCCATAGCCTGGGCTAAGCCACGATCTATAACCTATGGCTTCTCCACGGGCGCTGGGGACGAGCGTGGTATTAACCGTTGCCTAATTATAATGTCTGCACAGTAGGTCTGGCGTTGACGCTTGGGATTTTGTTGAAATATATAAAACTTCACGGAGAATTGTCGCCTATGGCTTCTTGTTTTAGTTTGTAAGGAAAATAGTGCATATTGATGGAAATTTTCTACTGATAGACATATATAATTTGTTCAAATAATCATTTTCTAATGTAAGCACAGCAAAATTCCACAAACTTGTTAGAACAAAACTTTCCGATACAAAATTTGACAGCCCTATAGTTTTGTCTAGCACACCCACTAACTTTATCTAACACGGATATTATAATATAAAAGTAGCACACAAATTTACCGTTGAGACTACCCTCATTAAATAGGTTCATCAGCCACGTAAGATTGCAGTTAGTAGAATGTTTTTCAATCAGTGAGGCGGGAAGGCCAGAAGATCCACCAAGTCTCGACCTAGTCTCGTGTTATCGGGAGACTAGGTCACTCCGTGATCAAGATGTACAGTCGACCCCGCAAATTTGGAGTCACGTATTTTCTAACTTTCAAAAACAGTCACTGATTGAAGAATATTCTACTGACTACTCTTTTTTGTAGTGTAATTGAAATGAGGAATCAATTTTGTTAAGATGTAAGTTTTTGGTTATAATTCCAAAGGTATATGACAGTCAGAAGTAGGTGGACATTAAAAAAAAAAACCTGCATAAAAAGAAGATGTCAAGGCTATGGCCCAGGAGAACAGTTGGACAGATGTGTTAAAATAATTTTTGTGTCAACCAGTAACTGTAATGTAGAAGTACAGGCTATACCAGAGTAAAGTTGGTGGATCAAATGGACCGAGGAAAGTGACATCGTTGTTATGAAAGGAGCTTCAAAAGCCTATTGGTGTAATACAAACTCAAAACCTGATGGTGAAAGTGAGAAACCTAACAATCTCTGAAAACTATAACTACCACAAAAAACAGGAAAGCTATTGTCCAGGAGAAATGGATTGTGATCCAACAACGACTGAAAACGAGCCTCACAAGGTTGACAACAACATTTTTCGTTAAACAGACAGGAGGGCAAACAAGATGGGGGGTGTCGTTTGTAATTAGTACATTACCTTTGAAACCTGGTACAGCTTAAAAATGCACCATCTCACACATAGACAACATGCCAAACTACGTACCAATGCAACAAAGGTTACAGCATCGTGAGTTACGTCTGCGAACACACAAAAACTACAACAACAACAACAACAACAACTGGTAGCAATACTCCGCCTGATGCCAGATGTGAGGTTGAGACAAGTGTTCACCAGCCGACTGAGAGACATTGGAAGTGCCTCCCCATTCCCCAACAGTGCAACCCCTCCGTCAACAGTGCATCCCATCTGCAAAAAGTGCACCCCGTCCGTCAATAGTGTGCCTTATCTGCAAAAAGTATACCCCATCTGCCAAAAGTGTACCCCATATGCCAACAATGCACCCCATCAATCAACCGTGCACCCCATCCGTCAATAGTGCACCCCATCTGCCAAAAAGCGTACCCTATCTGCCAACAGTGCACCCTATCCGTCAAGAGTGCACCCCGTCTGCAAAAAAGTATACCCCATCTGCCAACAGTGCACCACATCTGCCAACAGTGTACCCCATCTGCCAACAGTGCACCCCATCCGTCAACAGTACACCCATTCGTACCCGTCAACTGTGCATCCCATCCGTACCCGTCAACAGTGCATCCCATCTGTACCCGTCAACTGTGCATCCCATCCGTACCCGTCAACTGTGCATCCCATCCGTACCCGTCAACAGTGCATCCCATCCGTACCCGTCAACAGTGCATCCCATCCGTACCCGTCAACTGTGCACCCAATTCCTCTACAGCGAACCTCCTCCGACAACAGAGGGAAGTCAACTGATGTGGTAGCCAGGGGACTAAAGAAGGTAAACTTCTTTTGCATAATTTGCATTAAATTACATTGTATGTACATGTACATCTCTCTCTTACTCTCTACGCTACCTACATAGTATTACTATAAATGATGAAAATATGTTGTTCCTCTGTGGACTTTAAAAGATTTCAAATCTCAAGCTGCTAGGGGGACCAAACTCATACCACTTAGTTCTGATCATAGCATATTCATGACAAAAAATACAAAAACCGGAAGTTCTGCTGCAGTACCTAGATAAGTCAGCAGGAGGACCACACTTTGCCATGACCTTTGTCTTCCAATGCAACCTACCAACATACGAAATATCATCACAATCCAAAAAGGTGTTCTGAAGTCATGACGACTACAAATGGAAGCAAATAAACACACAGACCAGAATGGTCAACAATTTCAAGACTACTTTCTGGGCTAACACTTCTCTACTTTGTCCATGTAGGATAGCACTCCTGTTCACGGGGGTGAACATTTTATGGATGACATCCTCCGCAGACTCCAAATCTAATGCGAGCGGGAAAAAAAACAAAGCTGGCCGAAAAAAAAACAAGATTCCTACAATTAAAAAGTTGACTCAATCATTGTACAAATGGTTTTAATTCAATGTGTTATGTTCTTTTTTCTCTGTTATACAGGGGTGCAAAACTTTACAGATGACAACAGGGAACACAAGACAACACTTATCATTGCATAACGGTTTAAAGCGGACAAAGAGGATCCCTTATGTGTATGCTAACATGGCATCACATCATTTAATTTGATTATCTAAAAATGAAGACCAGGTCAAACAATGATATACAAGATTTGATGTTCCCTAATATCAGAATACTGACTGTATGTTTTGTCCTACCGTCTTTTTCACAAAAATAATACTTATCACATTTGACTATTTTCGGGAACTCTAGTAACTGCATTTCATTCTCTTTCATACATCAGACTTCACGATTATACTGTATAATCAGCATGGTACTTCTTAAGTCTGGGATATACAGTTTGTATTACTTTTTTATTAGAAGTATGTATGCATGTGTTTGTTTTAATACTGTGAATTATAATAATAATCAGTGTCATTTAGGCAACATTATATATAATATATAGTACAATTGTTGCGCAATAAAGTTATTGTATATATGTCTGATATTATAGGTTGATATTATATTAAAGAATTTGGAAATAAAACTTGCCTCGAGGTGAAATGTACCGGTCATTCACAAACACCTCCTCCTCAAACAGCTGTAGATTACGGGTGGGTCCATTAAACCGAATTCCAACATAGCGCGCCCTCACTCCAGCTACGGGGATGGTCTTTGGCCTTGTTCATATGAAACCACCCGAACCGCGATTCGGGTAAGTCGCACTCCCCACATCTGGTCCAAGCGCCATACATTCCTTTCAAACCGTGCCCGATCACGATTCTCCGAAATTGCATTTATTGTTGTTTGATGAAAACACGCAAGGTAGCGTGTTATAATTGTCAGAGTTCAACGAACTGCTTGCTGTTGCCCCTCTCCCATCGTATCTCGGCCGAATGCCGACATGGTCCCGCCAGAGGCGGTAAAGCTCGTCCTAGAAAGGACACATACCACCCCAGAATCCATGACCAGGTAAAGTTACATTGAAATCACATTGCGTTCAAACACAAATAAGCAATGCGGGAAAACCTATTTGAAACCACCTCTAGACGTGGTTCGGGATCGAGGCGCTTTTAATGTGATTTGGAGCGTTCAGATGTGGCCACTTGAAACCGGCTTCGGGGGAAACCACATGTAAAGCGGCTTCACTGACTTCATATAAACAGGGCCTTTGTCGCAAAGTGGGCTAGATCAAAGTTTAAGTCCCCTCCCCACGTCGGATTTTTCACCACCTCTGGCACATTCCCCAGATGAAGGTTGAACGGGTTGATCCTTTCAGATTCAAAGTTCATGCGGTTGTATAGGACGACTCTGTGCATTTATAACAGGACAATAAGTTCAGTCATCATTAATCTTGAATTTTCAAAAATATTTTTTTACAAAACCTTAATCCTATCTAGACCGGGGCGGGGCTAAAAGTGCCCGCGGCAACTTTGATGTCACATAGCGTCTGAACGGCTAGGGCTAGAACCGCCAAACTTGGTGACTTTTCCTAAAATATTGTTGGCAACAAATCTGTATCAGTGGAATAAGATTATGATTTTTCTTGTTGCCATGGCGGCTTCTGACAGGCATTTTTTGCCA